CGTGCGCGGTGGAGGCCCCCCGCCTCCGCCTCCGTCTCGGCGCCCGCGGCCCTGCCCTGCCCTGCCCTCGAGGCCGCGGGCTGGGGCGCAGACGCCGGGCGCTCCCACGAGGCCCTGCCCGGCCCGCCACGGACGCGATGCGAGTAAAAGCTCGGCTTTCGTCCTTTGTCCGGAAGTGCTGGTGAGGGACGCGGTGACGGCAGTCATGGGCAGCTTCCCTCTGCGGCCCTGCCCTGGCCCCGCCGGGTTAACTCCGGCCACACTGCAGGCCGCCTTAGGGGATGCTGCCTGGGGACGTCCACTCTCCCGCCGTCCGCGTGCCGGGGCACACACGTGCGTGTCGGAGACGGCCTGGGGCGCAGGGTTGGGGCCTCCACTGTAGCGGGGCTGCATGGTCCGGAGCGAGCGTGCCCAGTTCTCCTCCCACCGGGGACCACGGCCTCCGGGAGCTTTTCCTCCAGCCCCTGGTGGGTGGCAGGGCATCTCCGCGGGCCTGGCCTTGCCTTCCCGCCACTAAGTATTTTGAGCGTGTTTTTTGTTTCTGCACTTTTCCCCGCACCTTTTCAAATTCTGCCCTTAGATCCCTGCGTGTGGGGAGGCTGGCTCCCGCTCCCCAGCACGCGGCAGTGTGTGTTCTCAGAGTGCGGGGTCCCCTGCACGGGCTTCTCACTCTTCATGCTGTTTTTATTAGTCGGCCGTGGGTGCTCTGTACGCGTGTTCACAGTGAAAGTCGCCCCCTCACGGTGAAGCTGCTGTGAGTGTCGGAGGCACAGAGCTGGGACAGAAGCGTCCCATCGCTCGCTCGGGCTGTCCGGGTGCCGGTCCTTCCCCACCGGAGCCTGGCCTGGGTCGGTCCACTTCTCAGCTAGCAGCTGGCATTTAGCGCGATGCACTTGAGGGTGGGTGCCGCGTATGGGCAGTACCCCCTATCCTGCCGAGTAGTACTCCACCGTGCAGGCAGGGTGCAGTCATCTACCCGGCCCAGAGCAGGGTATCTGGGCTCTCCTAGGTTAGGGGCCACTGCGAACAAGCGACTGTAGACAGTCCTGCTCAGGCTTCGTGTGAACACGGTTTTCTTTTCTCTTCGCTAAATAGCTGAGCAGGATTGCTGGTCATGAACAGAGCTTTCTTCCTTTTTTTAAGTGCTATTTTCTGTTTCCCCACAAGTCATGTGTACTCATCGGAGGGAGACAGGGAGAGGGAAAGTGAGAAATCCCCCACACAGGGGGATGGCCACACACAGTCTCTCCTCCAGTCGTCTCTCGGGACTGTGCACACACACAGGACCCAGAGCAATTTCCTAGCTGCCAGGTCTAGGGGCTGAGCTGCGGTCGACCACGCGGGAGTCCAGCTCCTTATCCACCGCGCCGCCTGCTGGCCCCATAGCTCACTTTTCATGTGGTCTCGTTTCCCAGTTGTTCTTCGTGGTGCTCTTTGGTATCCTGTTTGAGAAATGGTGTCAGCAAGGTCACAGTGGCATTCCTCTACTCCCGCTTCTAGAATGTTGTCTCATTGCTCATGTTTAGATCTGTAACACCTGGACCTTGACTTACGGCCTGCGTGGGGGTCAGGGCTGGTTCCTGCCCACCCCTGCCCAGTCGCCCAGCGCTGTCGGGTTAGATCGTACTTTCTCCACCTTTCCGCAGGCCACCTTGGCCCTAAGGGACACATACACACGTGTGCCTGGGACGCCTGTGCCCTCTGCCACACCACAGTGTCAAATTACGATGCCCAGAACCCAGGCAAGACGGAGAAATGGAAAAGGAATGGTGCCGGGGAGTGCTTTTCTCTGCCTCAGACAGGTCCTGCTTCTCGGCCGAACGTTCTTTCTCTTCCTTCTCCCACTTCCCCGCGCCTTCTGTCCCTCCTGCCCGCTTACTCTTGTGTCTGCCTTAGGAGTGCCCTGGCTATCCCTGAAAGCTTTTTACTTTAAATTTTATTTAAATAATGTTTAATTTATTATACATTTACTTCGTTTATAAACAACTTATTTTAAATTTTAGAATATTAGCGTGTCCTTAAAAAGACTGGGTGTCCTGAGCCTGGCAGGCAGCCTTCTCTGTATGTCACTGGGTTAAATGTCTTCATTGCGCCGTTTGACCTTGCAGATACCTTCAAAGCTGTTCTCTCTGTGTCTGAGTCGTTTACCGTTTACTGAGAACAGTGCACCCAGATTTCTCACTGTGGCTTTAATTTGCCCATGTCTTCATTTAGTCATGTCAATCCTTGCTTTATGTATTTTGAGGTTATATTATTGTTTGCCTACAAATCAAGATGTTCATTTCTATCTTATTTATTTTAGTTTCCTTTGGAGCACTTATGCTCTCCGGAGAGAGAGAGTGTGTGAAAGATCTCCCCTTGGGGGAATGGCCACGCCACAGTCCTTTGTCCCCCATGCTCCTCTCAGGATTGGGGCGTGCAAGTCCATGTGCCTGGCATGTTTTTCAAACCGCCAAGTCCAGGACTCAAACTGCAGCTGCTGTGTGGGATCAGCCACCTTAACCTCTATGTCACCTCTGGCCCAGATCAGTATTGTTGTGTCTTCCTGTTTGTTAGTGGTCAGAGGATGTGTGTGTTAGCCAGAGAGAGCTGGAGAGACAGAGCAAAGCCCTCCCCTCCCACGTGGCCACGGGGCGTGGCCACACCATTCCTCCATCCTCCGTCCACACAGACCCGGGTGCACCAGATGTGCTTTACAAGCTGCTGGGGCCGGAATGTGGACAGCGGCCGGCCATGGAGGATCTGGCTTGCTTCCTCTGGGCTGTGGAGTGGCGCCTGGACCTTCGCAGTGAACGAGCAGACCGGTACTTTCCAGTAATCTCATCGAATGCATCCGAACATCCAGTCTGCTGGACCCGTGGCATTATCTTCCAGGGCTAAGTAGGCGGTCGCTGCGTAGTGCCAGTTACAGCACGTACCTCTGACCCCAGCGTTCCTGTCCCGTGGGTCCTGTAAGGCGAACTCAAACAGTCGAGTGCCGCTGGGGCCGACCTTACCGAGAGGAAGAGAGCCCACACTCCCGCTGCACGTGTGAAGATGGGGTCCAAGGAGACAGCGCCTGCCTTTGCCTTCTCGTGGCTTCGGCATTAAATTAGGAGGATGTGAAATTAGAACTCGATTTTCTTTTCTTTTTGTAGACAGGGGGTCCGAGTCTCTCCAAGTCATGACCCTGGGACTACTGGTGGGGGCCCCTGAGCCAGCTCTCGGGGCAGGCCAGAATCAGACCTGAGCCTCCACCTGGGCTCAGCTTTCTGAGGGGCGGCTGGGCCAGAAACAGATCTTGATCAAGGGGTTCGAGTCAGTGGGGAGTGGGGTGGGGTGTGCGTCGGAGCTGTACACGTGGAACACAAGCCTACTTAACAGTCACGTTGTGGCAGGAATAAGTGTGTGTGTCCGAAAGATCATACGCAGACAGCACCGCACTAGGACAGGGGCAGAAACAGGCAAATTAGTTGCCTATTTTAGCCACCGAGACCATCTTCTCGAATGTTCAGAGGAAGAGTTCCTGTTTTTACCAGACACACAACTTTATTGTTGATTCGTTTATTGATTTGAAAAATTCTCAACAACAAAATTTACTTAATTAATTAGTGTTCCCATCTTTTATTAATCAAAGATCTACTTAACGATTACTGGGTTGTCAGGAGAGCCACGATGCATTTTTACATAGAGAAGTCCGCCATGGCTTTCCTGACAGCCTAGCAGAATTTATAAGCTGCATGAAGAGACACATTTTTAACTAGAATCAAAATCATTTCCGTCCCAGCGACAGAAAACCTGGCAGGGCAGCCCCCATAGCCTCATTCTGACAAGTATGTGATTCGGCAAAGCTTTTTCAAAATTCGAAAGAGCGCACAAACCCTTCTTACTCAGCCGTCTTCGTGGGCCCAGCTGGGGACTCAGCTTACTGAGGAACAAGCGTCTGCCCCCCTTTCTTCTATAAACACCCTCCTGGTGCCTCCCCTCTCCCTTGCACACCCAGCGTCTGCCCCCTGCGCCCTGCCTTATTTTCTTCTTGTAGCCTTGAGAATTTCTCTTCCCACTTCTCCCTCGCGTGGATTCACAGATCCTCCTCTTACTCCGTTTTTCATGGAGTTTTTTTTTTTTTTCTTTTTTTGATTGGATTCCTTGGTGCTTCTAAGGATTATGGCTGGGGGACAAGTTGAATATTTTCAATCTGGCCGTGTAGTGATCCGTGACTGTGAGTCAGGCCAACATTCCACAGGGCAACGGGCCTGACCCATGGCCGACGTCAGAAAGCGCAGTCTTTGGTATCAACGTCTCGTGTTCAAGAGGTACCACCAGAAGCTTCTCGAATTCTTCGCCTTGCTTTGCCTCCCTGTGAGGAGCAATAGGAGGAGTACGGCACAGAGTGAATGTCACGTCAGCACTCTCCAGTCCTTCCTGCCTGGGGACCAGTTCTCCCCCTTATTCTTTAGTCCAAGCTGTTCTGTGAGCGGGAAGGCCCCCGGGGAAGTGTGGAACCGTGGCACCCCCTCCTGAGTTACTTACTGAGGTGTGTATTTATTGTTATTGTCATGTAGCTGTGCATTGTTATTTATTGTTATTGTCATGTAGCTATGCATTGTTACTTATTGTTATTGTCATGTAGCTGTGCATTGTTACCTATTGTTATTGTCATGTAGCTGTGCATTGTTATTTATTGTTGTTGTTGTCATGTAGCTATGCATTGTTATTTATTGTTATTGTCATGTAGCTATGCATTGTTACTTGTTATTGTCATGTAGCTATGCATTGTTACTTGTTATTGTCATGTAGCTATGCATTGTTATTTATTGTTGTTGTCATGTAGCTATGCATTGTTATTTATTGTTATTGTCATGTAGCTGTGCATTGTTATTTATTGTTATTGTCATGTAGCTGTGCACTGTTACCTATTGTTGTTGTCATGTAGCTGTGCATTGTTATTTATTGTTGTTGTAGTGTAGCTATGCATTGTTATTTATTGTTGTTGTCATGTAGCTATGCATTGTTATTTATTGTTATTGTCATGTAGCTGTGCACTGTTACCTATTGTTGTTGTCATGTAGCTACGCATTGTTACTTATTGATGAAGTTGGGTTTTTGCTGTAGGGCACGTGTGCTCAGCAGAGAGAGCGAGAGAGGGAAAGTGAGAAAGCGCCCCGCCCCCCACGGTGACTGTTCCTCGTTTCTTAGAAGAAACAAATTAAAAAGAAAAAAATCTTTACCCAATTTTAAACCACTCTCCCCTCACCACCCAGAATACTGTGTCCCCAGCACCCTCCTCCTGATCCTGTCGTAACATGAGATGCCAGCGTCCTGTCTTCCGTCTCCGCGAAGCAGACGCCGAGCTCGGGAGCACCTGCCCGTGGTGCAGCGGCGTGTCCGTGTCCTCCCTCTGCACTCCCTCTAGCTGGGACTCGTCACCCACGAGATCCGGCCCAGCGCCTCCTGCTAGTCTAGAACACCGACCGAAGACCCCCGTAACTGGAGAGGGTGGAAAGGTTTCCCATCTGACCCTTGATCTCACTGGTAAAGACTCGGAAGCCTCTGTTAAGAGGCGAGTCACGCTGACAGTGGGAGACGACGTTGCTGCAGTACGTGCGATGAACGGTCGTGTGCGTGCTGGGTGTCCCAGGCACAGGCTCTGCTCTTAAACCCAGCGTCCGCTGGGGGAGACTACTGCAGCCCGACGCGGTGAGAGCCGCCTGCAGGGAACGTGAGTGCACGTGTGAGGCAGTGCCCAAGCCGAGGACTTGCTGTTCACCACCAGCCTGTTCAAACAGGTTTTCTAATTCGGCTAATAAGACCACATCTCCAGGGAACCAGCAGTTAGCATAATGGCTGTGTCGCTGGACTCCCACGTAGTTGACCGCGGTTCGCGTCCCGGACACGGTGGCTTCAAACTCAAACCGGGCGTGTGTGCGTGCGTGCCCAAGATCCTGAGAGGAGAATGGAGGAGAAGGGATTGTGGCGTGACCATCCCCCCTGGGGGGTGATTTCTCACTTTCTGTCTCTATGTCTCTCTCTCTCTGTCTGGCGAGCACACGCGCCCTATAGTGAAAACCTCTCCAAAAAAAAAAAAAAAAAAAAAAAAGACCACATCTCTGGTTGCAGAAGAGGATGTCCAGTCTGATTCGTGGCCGACGAGCTGATGGCCCGAGTCCGAATACTAGAGAGGTCTGTTGGGGGGCGGGGGGGTGTCTGTATCTCTGCTTTGAGTTTTTATCTCTGCAGTTTCATTCCTTCTTCTCCTTGTGTGCTCAGGGTTGAGTTCTGAACATGTATGTGCTGGGATAGTTTTGTCTTGCTTGTTAACTGGCTGTACGCTCACCTCGACCTGATCACCGGGGCTCTGAGGCCTGGACCGGATTAAAAGCCATTTGTTACATCCACTAATTTTTAACCTGGAATGTTCTTTCGAATGTTAGCTCTTCCCAAACCCCCAGAAGCCAGGTTTCCGACAGGCACGGTGCCTGCTTCCCTGAGGTGTGGAAAGTAGCAGGGGTCACCTGGTGTCTCCCAGACCCACCCAGTGCCTCACCTGGGACGTCCCGCGACTGCTCTACCCACAGTGCATCAGGAACGCCCTCCAGTTGGGTGGCGTTAGCGGGAGTTTTATTTGAAAATGATTCCAAAACCTGTAAGAGAGAGAAAGCGGGGAAGTGAGTTTAGGAAACGTCTCTGCTAGTGCTTGGCCAGTTTCTTTCCGGTACCTGGTAGGAAGAGCTATCCCTAAGAGGCCGGTTTCTGTACCGTGCCGTCAGCTGTTCCGGTAGCTTGGCATGTGCACGTGTCAAACACAGAAAGGCCGTTAACATACAACACGGGGACTTACCTGCACTGTACGAGGACGTGCCCTGCTTTAAGAGCAGCTCATGTGAAAAGCCTACGTGTGCGTACTGGGGGCGGGGCCTGGCAGTGATGACAGCGGGCACTGCGTCCCCTCGTATGTTCTTTATTTTTATTTATATTATTTATCTATTTATTTTGCGTTTCTGCCATAGTGTGTATGTGCTGGCTGGAGACAGAGAGAGAGGAAAAGTGAGATCACCTCCCGGGAGGGATGGCTACGCCACAATCCCTTCTCCATTCTTCTCTCTGGATTTTGGACACGCACGCACATGCACCTGGCATGTTTTTCAAGCTTCCGGGTCTGGGATTTGAACTGCAGTGTTGGCCATGTGGGGTCCAGTGCCTTAACCATCGTGCCACTTGCTGACCCCCTCTGACAAGGGGAGGGGGACTGGCTCCCTAAAGAGCAGTCCGGGGAAGTGCACCACAGCTTGGCTCTAGACACTGAGGCCAGCAACTCCGCTTCCAGGAGCCGCTCCTCGGAGAGTCGCTATGAACGTGGCAAGATGCATGTTAGTTTGCCCAGCTACTGTTTCAAATGCTGAAGAGTTAGAAACAGCTTAAAGGTCAAAATGAGACTGGTTAAATAAACTACGAATACAGGGATATGGTATCAGGCAGTCAGGCATCCCCGCCGACGCTCAGGGAGATGAACAGTGCCGTGAGAAAGTGCTGTGATAGACGCAGGGGACAGGGGCCGGCAGGTGGCGTCCTGGTTAAGGCACTGGCTCCCACATGCCAACTGTTCTGAGTCCTGGACCTAGCAGCTGGAAACTCACACCCAGTACATGTGTGCCCAAAATCCCAAGACGGGAATGGAGGACGGACTGCAGTGTGGCCACCCCCAGGGGCCAGTTTTCACTTTCTCTCTCACCATCTCTCTCTCTAGCAAGCATATGTGCCCTATGGTAAAAACCTTTAAAAATGTAGGAAGAAAATGTATACAGTATCATCTCATTTTCATAGAAATGCATGTGTATTTGCTTGTAAATAGCAGGAAAAAAAAGATTAACTAGACACCAAAATATAAATTATTCTCTCTGGGTAGTAGGATTATTTATAGTTCTTAATTTTTTATTTAAATTTTAAGATAGCTTTCAGAATGTCTATAGTAGATATGTGTTATTTTTCATCATCAGAAAATCACCTAGTAAACTTTTAAGAGCAGCAACGATAAATTAGGCTATGACTGCTTGCCAAGATCCATTAACATTTACCAACATTTATAATTCCAACCTTTGTTATCAAACTCAACACAAGAGGGCCTTTACCTCCAACTATCCTAGACGCTTGCAAGAGAGAGTGTTGTCTTTCTTTCTTTTTAAAGAATTATTTATTTTAAATTTATTTCTCTATTTATTTTAGATTTACTATATGGCATGTGCACTCACCAGAGAGAGACAAAGAGAGAAAAAGAGAGAGAGAGAGAGCTCACCAGAGAGAGACAGAGTGAGAAAGAGAAAGTGAGAAAGCAAGCTTCCAGGTCTGGGACTCAGACTGGTCAGCTACGTGGGAGTCCAATACCTTAACCACCATTCCCCCTGCTAGCCCCAGAATTGTTTTTGTTTTGTTTTGTTTTGTTTTTAAGAGAGAGAGAGAGATTTGCTATAGGGAGTATGCACTTGCCAGAGAGACAGAAAGCAAGAAATCACTTTCTGGGGGAATGGCCATGCCTCAATTCCTTTTCCATCTTCTCTTGGGATTTTGGGCACACACATGCAGGCGCCTGGTCTGAGTTTTAAGCCTCGGGGTCTGGACTCGAGTCACGATGTAACCATTACATCATCTACTGGTCCCAAGAATTGTTTTCTTAAGAAAGAAGTCCCAGCTCAGCCTGGTGGTATGGTCAGTAGCGAAGAGAACTGCAGTGCGGGAAGCCATGTGGCCAGCTTTGGTCCGGGTCCCCGGTGGATCTGAGAGCGAGCCTGCAGAGCCTGGCCAGAAGCCTGATGAGCTGGAGGGCAGGGCAGGGGTGCAGTGTGCTGAGACTGGCCCCGTACGGGGCTCTCTCTCCGGGCAGTGGTAAGCACAAGTTGTCTATCGTGAATACAATAAATAACAAAAGAAGAGCCTTACAAAGAAATCCCTAGAACCTCCCCAAAGCGGTCCCATGCTTCCCCTGAACAAGAAGTCGGGTAGATGTTCTGTTGAAAATGAGCAAGGCTTAGCATGGTCTCCAGCTGTCACTAAGAGGTCCGAGGGTGACCTGCGTGTCCCAGCACGGAGGGCAAAGGAAGACGCAGAAGCGGTGAGGGGAGAGGGAGCCGCAGGACCTCAGCGTGGGGTGGTTAGAGCCACATGACAATGGTGCTGCTGCCCACCCCCACGTGGGGCTCCACTAGACACAGGCCCTGGAAGGAAATGCCAGCTGCCCAGAAGCTGCCAGGGACAGCCCCTAGCTGTTACCCAGGTCACCGTGAGCGCCCGAGGCAAGGCAGGGAACAGGTGGGGTTTCCTGGGAAGGGCTGGGCTGGGTACGGCTGCTTATTTTTCATTTTATAGACTTCCACATCCTTCATATTTTAAAATATGATTTTAAAATGGTCAAAAGAAAATAAATAACAGAGGAATTTTAATAAATTCCCGTTCTTTGGGCAAGCTCAGAGAAGGAAGCATATCATGGCTTTGCTCATGCAGCGTAAAGGACCAAAATGGTAAGATAACATTTCCACATTTTTTAGAGAATTCCTGACAACAATAAGAAAAGCTACTCTATCCTTGAGTGATTATTTTGCAAGGAAAAAAAAATATCAGATCGCCTTTTCTGATGTTTCAACTCAAATGTCCCAAGCGTGGTCTTGAATACTTGGGGAGCTTCGGGGTGCAGGCAGAGACCCAGCGAGCCGCTCCTTCAGCCTCGCAGCGGCCAGCCCGCACTCCGCTGGGCTCCGAGGACGGAGCAGGCGACCCAGGAATCCGTCACGGGGCCTGTTCTTGTCCCCACACACACGCCTCTCCTTCCCTGTGCCCAGACCACTTTCAGAAGAGGTTGGGACGCACGGACATGCATGTACAAATGGCCTTGGAAGCCCTCCATTTCCTAACCAGGTTTACTTTTTAACTAGCTAACAAGGTAACAAGGAAGCAAAACGCTAATGGTGACATCTCGCATGCCGTCAGACCTGGGGGACGCAGGCCAGCGCCGATGTCACTCGTGTGTCTCCATGCCCCCTCTGGTGGCCCCAGGAGACAGGTGCTAGCAGACTTACAGGTGGTGGTACACGTCGGGGTCCCGCCGGAGCCGGGTCTGGAAGCCTATGTACAAGTCGTCCCAGAGCAGCCCGTTGCGTACCACGTGTCTGACGACGTCCACGCGGCTGCGGATCTGCAACACAGAACACTGGCAGGGGCAGCGAGGCCGAGCCCCCCAGAGAAGCCTGGCCCGCCGGGAGGAGAGCCCCAGAAGGGCCGGCCTAGGGCAGGTGTCATGGCAGAGGAGGGCGGGACGGGCTCTGAGTGCCTCAGAGATGGGCAAGGACAGACGGAACGCGGAGCTGGGGAAGACAGACCGGAGGTGCCCCTGGGCTCCAGTCCAGGTGCACCAGGTGGCCTCGGCAGCCATTCTGTGCCTCTTTCCTCGTCTGGAACGTGAAAGCAGTCGATGGGATTGTCTGGGGATTAAGGGCCTATGAAGGACTAAAGCCTGGCACGCAGTGGGGACCCATCTGTCTGCCAACACAGCCGCACACCAGCACAGAGCAGAGTCTGTGCCCAGCCACAGGGCGGGCCTGCCCAGGCGGCCACCTCGGCCTCCCGCTCCCCCACCTCTGACCGAGCTGAACAGCGGAGGGGCCGGGACCAGAGGCAAGCAGGCATGGGCTTGAGTCCCGGTCCACACTGCAGGTGCGTGCCGCGCTGCGGGATGTGAGGAAGCAGAGCCAGCGTTTGGACGGGGTGCGTGGGGTTTGGGCGCGGTTCTGGCTGCCAGGGCCCCAGCTCCAGGGGCACCTCACCCTGGGCGAGCTGGCGGTCCCTGTCCACACGCAGCCTGGCTCTCGTTTGTTTAAATTTTAGTATGTTGGACGAGCTCCCTAGTGTACAGATCTGGCGGGGTCCTGGCGGTTCCCATGCAGACCCAGATCCCCGCTCTCCCGGAGTCCAGAGAGCGGCTGGGCTCAGCAGGCCTGGGCCTGGGCTGTGGGTGTGCTTCCACGGCCCTCAGCCCCAGCAGCTTCGCCTGTGGACAGACCTGCTCGGGCCACTCGTGGGCACGTAAGCCTGCATTCCCTGCCCAGAAAGCCCAGGAAACTGATTTTCACACGAGCATCCTGTCCCAAGCCAGCCCGCGAAGACTTCCTGCTAAATATGGACTCATCCCCTCCTCCTCCTCTTCTTTTTAGTTACCAGAGGCTGAGTACGCTCACCAAAAGAGACAGACGAAAGCACCCCAGTGGGTGTGTCCCGCCGCACTCACTTCTCCATGTCTCCATCTCGTCAGCACATGGCACTCGCGAGGGCTCGGACTGGAACCACGTGGGACATGTGGGCCTGGCTCCCTTAACTGCTAAGCCACGGGGCTGGCCCAGTGCCTTCCGTCCTAAAGGGCGCCTCCGGGCCAGCTCCGTGGCTAGTGGTTAAGGCAGCAGGGTCCCATGTGGCCAGCCCTGTGGTTAGGCCAGGCCAGCAGCTTGAGAAACATGCCTGGCACTGCGGCACGCGTGCCCTAACCCTGCCGGGCGGAGCGGTGGGGCAGAGGGAACCGCAGCAGGGCCATTCCCTGGGGTGCTTTCTGCCCCCCTCTGCCAAGTGCACAGGCCCACGGGCAGCTTTTCTAAAGTCACTTAGGAAGGACGCTCAGGCCAGTGTCCGTCCCTTCTGCGCGGCCCTGCTCTGCCCTGCTCTGCCAGCCCAGGGAGCGATGCTCCTGCGTGTCGGGAAGTGGCAGCCCGGAGTCACGCTCAGCCAGACTGTCACACTGCATGGTAGAGAGCCGCGGGGACGGGACACACTGGTCTGGAAGCAGTGGGGCCTGCAGTGGACCTACAGGGGAGCCGCCAGGCCAGGGCCGAGGAGGGACCACCACAGGAGCCATGTGCTAGAAACACAGAGCCTGATGGGAGGGACACCCTGAGCAGGAGGGAGCTGAGGCCCAGAGAGGAGGGGAGGCAACCACGGGGCCTGGGACAGGGAGGCTCTTCCAGGGAAGCCGGCCTGCCCCAGCCAACTGTGTCCTCCTGAGCTGCATCAAAACCTGGGGGCGGGGGCCAGCAGTTGGCGTGGTGGTTAATACACTGAACTCCCACATGGCTGATGGTTGTTCAAACCCTGGACCTGGTGGCTCGCTTTCTCACTCTCCCTTTCTCTCTGGTCAAATTTAAAAATAATGACAAATAAAATTAAATATAGTACAAAAAAAAGGACCAACAGTTGGCGTAATGTCTATGTTGCTGGACTCCCATGGAGTCGACTGCGGTTCGAGTCCCGGACCTGGTGGCTTAAACTCACCCCGGATGCGTGTGCATGTGTGCCCAAGATCCCGAGAGGAGAATGGAGGAGAAGGGATTGCGGTGTGGCCATCCCCCCTGGGGGGTGATTTCTCGCTTTCTATCTCTCTGTCTCTCTCTGTCTTTCTGGCGAGCACACGTGCCCTATAGCAAAAACCTCTCCAAAAAACCCAAAAAAACCTGGGGGCGGAAAACGATAGCCACTACATGCTACCACGTGCCAGGCAGCCAGATTCCGCCCCGGGCACGGAAAGCTCCCTCGGGGAAGGATGCGGCCCTGGGAGAGGAGAGGAGGGCAGAGGTGGAGGCTCACAGGTCCCAGGACCACAGGCCGCGTTTGGAGGGGCAGGCAGAGGGGCCGGCCTCAGCAGAGGCCCCGAGAAGGGGTGTGGGCTCTCGCCTGACAATGTCTCCGTGTTGGTGGGTTAGTCGTGGCGGGCGCTCCGGCTGCGGCGAGAGCTGACAGTACTGCGTCGCAGACACCCCTCTTTCTGCCAGTTACCCCAGAGAGCAACGAGGTTGGAAAGGGGGGACAGGGAGGAGGGCGGGAGAGGCCGCGTCGCGCTCACCTCCTCGTAGGCGTGCTGCCGCTGTGGCCTTTCCTTCGGGAAGGACAGGTCTAGAAAGTCCACCAAGTAGTCGTAGCCCCCAGGAAGCGGGTTGAAGTCCTCGTCCGTCTCTGTCATCTGTGTGGATGTGGCACCGAGGGAGAAGACGCCGTCAGAGCCGGGGTCTGGAAAGTTCTGAGCACGCGAGGCTGACACGCCTCTTCTCTCTGTCTCTCGCTCTCCGTGTCTCTCTCCTGGACTGGGGGATCTGATTCCTGGCCTTCTACGTCAGCAGAGGTGCCTCCTACGCTAAGGTCACCCTGGCTCACCGAGAGGCCATTACTGAGAGCACCGTCAGTCACCAGGCGGGGAGCAAGCGCCTGAGGAGGGCGTCTGCCCGTCATGGAGCCACGGCGTGCAGGTGGTCCCACTGCGTGTGCGAGCAGGGGTGGCCTCAGGAAGCCATGGGAAACGCATAATGTGGAAACTGCCTTGAGGTCAAAACCCTGTTTGCACCGATACACACACACGCTTTAATTCTACCATTCGTGACGTTTTTGAGGTCCCCTTGAACAGCTTCCTTTTTCTGATCCTAACTGTCCACCTGAAAATACCTTAGACCAATGCTCCCAGGTCCTTTAATTTCGGGAAAATCCTTGTTACTGACTGAGGTGGCCCCAGGTAGGCTTCTGCGACCCCTGCTTTTGAGAATGGGAGCGCTGCCTGGCGAGTGTCCCCGGGTTCGAAGCTCAACGGTGCATAGTTCTCGCTGCAGGGCAACCACTCTGGGTCTCAGGGAGTGCACGTGTTGCCCAGATCCTGGACCTCAGTAACTCGCCCCTGCACATCCCGATGGCCGTGCCCCTGCCCTCCAGCTGTCCTCAGAGGCTTGCACCCTGTCCGCTGGTGCCTGATTCACTTTCAGGCACACCTCCCACTCAAGGGACGGGGAATAAGCCGAGCCCTCGGCCCAGGCCCTGGGGTCGAGATGGGGTGGTGAGGTTCCAGGCTGCACCACTGTTGGCCTGTGACCCCACGGTCCACGTAGCTGCAGACACGAGCTGCCTGCCCATCTCAGAGTGCTGGCTAGCCGGGGGCTGCTCCCGGTCCCCTCTTCATGGTTGCACCCCACTTTCGGACTCACCATTTCACTAACTATTCCTGCCTTGCCGAATAACCCAAACCCAAACCACAAACACAGAAGCAGCAGCCACACACAGGTGGGAGGCAGAGGACGCTCCCAAGGAGACACCAGGCTGGGCCGCAGTGCCCTCGGTTGTCAGGGAGAGCCTTCCTGCCCGTGGTCTGTCTGCCCCATGGAACGAGCCGCCGCGCCGGGCCACGCTCTATGTCCGCCATTCGCGAAAGCAAGGAGTCTTAAGAGCGCACCCTGACCACGAGGTTGTACTCCTTAAATCCGGCCCATGTGAAGTACTCTCTTATCCAGGAGGGGTGAAGGAAAATCTCGTCTGCCACAGCAGCATTCAAGATTTTCAAGTACGGCTCGAAGTCCCAGGAATCCTTGTAAACTTTCGTCCCCTCTGGTGGCTCCACGATGCCCTGGCTTAGAGACACGAAGGTGCGGGACAGAGAAGGAAAGCCGCGGTGAAGGCGAGAGCGAGCAGCAAGAGCCAGCCCGACCGTGCCCCTGAGTGCCAGAGATTCTGGGCAGGGGTCCCACAGGCGAGCCCCGGGGGCCCTGCATGGCCCCCCGAGCACCCCCCCTCCTGCTGCTGTGGCCGGTGTTGAGCCAGATCTGCCTTGAGAAGAGGCCGTGTCTGGGGGGGTTTCAGAGCTGCCCGTCTGGGCCCTTTGGGTCCTAATAACCGAACTACGGTCATGACTGCAGTCAGGCCATGCTGCCTTGCGTGTCTGTGCCCTCTGTCCCCACGCGGTTACTCTGGGGATGTCCCTCAGAGAGAAAACAGGCCTCCCTCCCTCTCTAGCAGAGACCCGAGATGAGGACACATCTGAATCACTAGTGTTGTTCTCCTGTTTCCATTTGTAAAGTTTATGTATTTATCTCTTCTATGCGAGAGAGAGAGGCAGAGACACCCGACAGGGTCTACGGCACTGTCCACCCTCGGCCTCGCCGGCCCAGATCCAACCTGCACGCATGCACCCAGTGTGCTTGGGGGACCCCCGGAGTCCAGGCTGGCACCCCGCGGCCCGCCGGGCCCTGAGCACTCAGCACGCGGCGTGGAAGCTGGGCTAGCTTAGTGTGAGGCCCTGGTCTGAGCAGCCCCGCTGGGCAGCGTGCTCCCCGCAGTACTGGGGTTCTGTTGGAGGTGGCGGGGTGCGGGCCTCCCCACACAGAGCGAGCGTGCCAGTCAGCACATCCTCCATGCTGCCACAGAGGGAGGGCCTGCCTGAGGCCAGAAGCGGGGCCTTCGTGTTGTCAGGGCGTGGGAAAGACCGGGACAGGTCTGCACGCTCGAGCCAAACCTGTCTGCCGGGTCCTTGAGCAGTCTCCCCAGATCGAGGACGGCTCCGGGTCGCGGCGTCCACGTTACCACCTCGGAGTTTTTCTTGATGAGATTGTTGAGTTCGTTCGGGTCGTTTTTGATGTTCGTTTCCTTAATGTACCTGAGAGACAGGTGCACACTGAGTGAGGCTGTGTTTGCACACGCATCATCTCGGCCGTCAGGGGTGGGGCGCTTCCTCCTACGCCCCCACACTTAGCGAAGTGTGAAGACGTGCCCGGGCCGCTGTTTCCAGTTGGGAAGGAACTACCGGTCCCCAAGGCTTGGGGCCGACTCGTAATCAGAGTGATCGGAAGCGAGGTTAGACGTAAGAGCCGTGCCTGGGTGGGGCTGCGTGCTGTGTACATACGGATTAAATGTTCCTGGCAGGCATCACACCACCGCCGACAGGAGCTAATCGGTCTTATCTCCACAGCGTCCCACGAGTTAGCGCACTTTCATTTGCTGTGCAATTTACTGCAATTTCTGGTTTCCATAGACTCATTATTGTCATGCTAACTTTCCAGAGAAGGAAACAGGTTCCGGAGGCCCAGTGGCTCTCCCAAGGCCGTATGACATGTGGGCAGTGCACCCAGTGCAGCTCTGAGCCAGGGCAGGTTCGGCCCGCAGGGGGCCACGAGGGGAGACCCCTCCCCAGCTGTGGGGTGGAGTCTGAGAGGCCTCTGCACTCCCAGCCGTGGGAAGCCCACCCATGGGAAAGCACACACACCCTTGGGTGCCCCGCCCCACGTTCTGGTCTCAGCGGTGCAGGTGACCAGCGCTGGAGCTCCCAAGTCTAACTCCAAGCCACAGTCTCGAACCCAGCTGCTCCATTTCCATGTCCCCCTGGGAGGTAGCGTGGCAATGCTGGGGTGCCACAGGGAGCCGGAGAGAGGAGATTGTCGCTGGGACCCGCTGGGCCCAGGTGTGCCGGATGGACATTCCCGTCCCCTAAGCTACACTTGGTTAGCTGGACTTGATAAATGCTGAGGAAATGCGTTTTATAAGCGGTGGTGATCGACGGTGATTGACCGTATGGAACAATTTTAAAATAGTAATAATTTGTTTCAATGTGCACGAGCGTCCATGCATCCCCAGCACTGAGGGGCTCACGCTGTCACCATCTCGGGGGGACCTTGCAGGCGTGGGTGAGGACCTGCGGTGACGTGGGCCACTTTCCCGCCTACACGCGACGTCCCCGCCCTGCGTGGTCCCTAACTTACGGCGGCGCCACCACCCTGTCACGTCTTACCACCGTTCTCAGCGTGGACCCCGGCTGGTCCCCTGCCCCGTCCCCCTCCCAGACTGCCCTGCCCGTTCTCCTAAAACGCAGTAGGGAGTTCAGATACTTTCTGGCTCTTCTGTCTCTAAGAAGTAATGAATCCGAGACCCAGACGCCCTCCCCCCTCTGCCCTCCTCCGAGGGGCCCCGTGGACCCCAAGGGCGACATTGGTCAACGGCTTACGCACAGGCTGCTCTTAACTTGGTGCCGTGGCAGCGTCCCGCACAGGGGCAGCTGCGTGGAGATCCCTGCCCGCCGCCCCAAGGTCTTCTCCACGACTTTGCCCTTCAGCCTGCCCCTGCTTTCTGGCATCTGGACTCTCCTGACTCCCCTCTGCCATCGTCACGCCCACCCCCGCCCACCCCCCCCCCCGGGGTATCCTGGTTTCCCCTTTCTGGCCCCACCGC